AGAAAGCCGTGCGAGCTAGGCGTCCGTTGTCACCCAGATCATTCTAAATGCAGGCTTGGTGTTCGGTGCCGGATATGACTCCAGGAATCGGCACAGGCCCAATCGCTGCTGGAACGGGCCAAGCAGAAGAAGAACAGGCCTGCATGTTGAAGGATTGGGGTTCTAAAAGGGTGCGTGTCTAAGCCAGTCAGAGCAAGCGCCAGATCATTTCGCAGGAACTGCCACATCGAAGGTATATCTTTGGTAAATTACGTATCCACCGTAAACCGTGAACCCAGAATTGGCGAGGTGGCAGGAAGCATTCGCATTGCTCATGGTTACGATGGCCTCACTGCCCAAGGCGGCTGGAAAGTTGTTTCGCCTTGCGTTTGTGTGCTTCTTGTAGGGCGCTGGCTGAGAACATGCCATGTGTAATGATACGTCCCAGGGGGCGAAAGCTTTGACTGTCCCAGGCTCAGCATATGCCAGTTGCACATTAGCAAACACAAGTGCCGCAAAACAGTGCCGGAGCCTTTCAGACCTACCGAGGCTATAGGGGACTTTCTGGCCTTCGCCAAGCAGAGCGGCGTTCACGTTGGAGCTACCGATGCTGCTTCGGGCATTCGAAGGCCTCCGAAGCTTTGATCCTCCTCACCCAGTTGAATAAGTTTAACATGCCATGCTACATTGTCTTCTCATGTTATACTTTATGAGACTACATTACATTGCATCTTGATGTACTAGATCGTATGTATAATCACATAGTGCTTGGATGTCGCTGAAGACCACGAGTTTAGTCCCACATCTTTCGTTGCTAATCTTCTTGCAACAGATACTGCCACTGCTGCATCTGCTGCTCTCACCAAGTCTTGCTGCTTCTTCTTCTACTTCTGCCACCGCCTCTTACCGTTGCTAGTATGTGCAGCTGTTGCAACTCTTTGCGTGGGCCAGCGCGCAAGCTAGCCCAGCAAGAGCTGCTAGGCTGCATCTTTATGGCGGAACGATGCAGGACCTGGAGGAGTCTCAGAGCAACTAGCTTGTAGAAGGAGCTTTCAGCGGCGTGTAGAGTTTTCAGGCTTTGAGTCTGAGTTCCACGAAGAGGGCTCACCATAAAGCCTTTTGCGCCAAAGATTTTCCGCCTCCTGCATGCCTTCGGGGTTTCGAGGGCGGTTTTTCGGGCCCGAAGGCAAACACAAAGAGCAGCACCATTAATAACAAAATTGCATTCTTTCTGCAATGCGGCGATGGCAACGACAAGAGTAGGTGGTGAACTTATCACAGGAAGTAGGAGCAGGAGGAGGACATGCATTGAACCACTAGCGGGAGCACATGAACCCAGGAGATCCACGACCGCCTCAGCGTGGCCTCCAAGTCTGGAAAGAGGCAGGTTGTTCGACGATCTCCGGCCGTTCGCTTTCCTCGCCATTTTGGGGTTTCGGGTACATCATGGAGGGGTAGGTGATGGCTTTTCCTCTCCAGCAGGAGGCTAGTACTGGTACCAGTACTGGTATTGGTACCTGTGTAGTATAAGTGAAAATTCTAGGTCCAGTTCCAGTACCAGTACGCGTACTAGTACGAGTACGAGTACTAGCAATCTAGTACTCCAGTACTCCAGCACTCTGCTCTAGTGCTCTAGTCGTAGTACTTAGTACTCTAGCAGTTTAGTAAGTAGTAGTAGTAGTAGTAGNNGTAGGAGAAGGAGTAGGAGTAGGAGTGGGAGTAGGAGTAGGAGTAGGAGTAGGAGTAGGAGTAGTAGTAGGAGTAGTAGTAGGAGTAGGAGTAGGAGTACTGGAGTAGTAGTAGTAGTAGTAGTAGTAGTAGTAGTAGTAGCAGCAGCAGCAGCAGCAGCAGTAGTAGTAGTCGTCGTGGTGCTGGTGGTGGTAGTAGTAGTACTACTGCTGCTGATTTTGCTGCTGCTACTGCTACTACGACGACGACGACGACTAGTACTACTAGTACCACACCACTACGACGATGACGACAACTACTACTACTACTCCTATCGCTACGGCTCCTGCCACTTACTGCTACTGCTACTACGACTACTACTACTACTACTGCTGCTATTCCAACTGGAACTCTTACCACCTCTGCCTAGGCTATTAAATTTTGTGTTTGAGCACTTTGGGGCCCGTGCTGCAAATAACTCAGTTGGCGACTTTCTTGAAGCAATTGTGGGTATAATGATCGTGCTGGTATGACAATCAGTATTAGGAAGTGTTAGTAGCGAAATCGCAACGGAAAGACCAATACGAGGACCCGCAGAGCTGCGCTTGGACGTGTCACGAAATGAAAGCAGCAAGGCATGAACAACCCCTAAGCCCGAAACCCTGAACTTAAAACCTAATTCCGAAACCCTAAACCCTAAACTCCGGAACCCTAAGTCCGGAACTCTTAACCCCAACTTGGAGGTTCATGGGTAGTTATAAGCGGAGTTATAAGTCCCCTAATATGGGTTATAAGTACAGTTACCCTACTTATACCTCATTTATAATTTATAACTACCCATGAACCTCCAAGAAGTCTTCTGAGAGGTTGGCTCAGGCCTGGGCCACCCTGGACCTGGCAGACGCCAAGCTTTGCCAGGGCTCGAAGCTGAAGGCTCACGGCGGTCCTTCGGGGTATTTTTTGAGGTATGGGCTTCTATCTATCCATTTGTCTATCTATCTGTCTAATTATCTGTGTATCTGTCTATCTGTTTATGTATCTATCTATCTGTCTATCTTTCTATCTATCTCTCTCTCTCTCTCTTTGTCTCTCCGTCCGTCGGTCTGTCTGTCTGTCCAGCTGCCTGTCTGTTCATCTCTGCTTCTGTCTATCTATCTGTCTAGCTGCATACGTAAACACATACATTGACATACATGTTACATGTATATGTATATATGTATGAGTATATGTCTACACACATCAGTGTAGTCGATATAAGTGTCACTGTGGTTGCTCTTTTTGCTGGTGTTTTACATACTCCTGTTTAAATCAGCCACACATTGATGCGCCGTCAGAACAATGACGGTGGTGGTCATTTACGTAGATCGGTGCAGGACTTCTGTGCCGCATGATGAAGGTCACAGCGTCTGGCGATGTTCGAGTTCCGGAACTTCCCCAAACCCTTCAACCCTAAACTCCTAAACCCCTAAACCCCTAAACCCCTAAACCCTAAGCCCCTAATCCCCTAAACCCCTAAACCCCCCAAACCTAAACCCCTAAACCCTAAATCGTCGACTTCGGGCAGGTGCAAGAGCTGGAGGATGCCCAGCAGCAGCTGCAGAAGCCAAGCCCTCGGTTGCCTGACTTGTCAGCACCGTGAAACCAAATTCTGCCCTTGACAGTATAATTATTGCTTCTTCTCCGTAGTCTAGTTATTGTCGCCACTATGATCACCATCATTGTCAGATTATCCTCATGCCCTGAACTCCAATGCCAAAACCCTGCTTCCAAGCGCCACGGAGCCTTAGTTGGGCCATGCATGCCTTTTTGGGGCAATGACCGGCATTACCGTCACATCATTTAACATTCCACCAACCAATCCTTGTAATACCATGTAGCCCCATTCAGTACCAACTCGCAACATTGGTAAAGTTTATCGCCATCTCAATACGCGTGGTGCCATGCCTGGCGCTTGAGGATCGTAACCCAATTGTGAATGCAACAGACAAGTTGACTATGTTGTAGCAATTGTGTGATTACTGCCGGTTTCAATCGCGGCGGTTTGTCAAGAATGACTTGGCTACTTTTGAGATAAGAAGTATTGGCAATCCACGTGGGGAAATGCGTTCCTTTCCCCTTGTTTCGGGGGCCTGATCTGGTTAAGGCATATTTCCAACAAAATGGGCTGTAAACTTAGTGCTGTATTCGGTGATTTTTCCTGTTGTGCTTGCTTGTAGGTTGTCATTAGGAAATGGCAAACGGGACATCTAGTCAACAATCTACTGCTGCGATGTTTGCTTGCTTTTACACGTTTGTGTGATTCTGTCTTAAGTTGTAGAAACGGAAACTGATTGGCTATGTCTACGTTCTTGGCTTTCAGGTGTTCAGTCGTCTTAGGTTTTCTGTTTTGGCTTTGTGCCATTTTCCGTCTTAATTGTTATTGGTCCGTCTGGTTGTCATAGTATATCTCGTGGTATTCTTTCGTTGCTTTGCTTTTTTTTTGTCGGGGTGGTGAGTTTTCTCACTAAACTGCCCTGTGGTGAGCCCGGCAACAGCACGATCTCAACACAGCCGAATCATGTTTTGCTGGTTCGCTGTGGTGGCTTGGTCGTTTCTTGGGTTGTTGTAAACGGTGGCAAGCTTTTTGGGACGGTGTTGGGCAACTGATTGCAACATGCGGTTCGGTCATGTGAGCCGCAAAGCCCAATTCGCAAAGTGAAAATTCCTTTGGAAAACTGCAAAACCCAAAACCCGGCGGGGCGCGCTGTTAGTTTATTTGGAGGTCGCTCGAATGTGTCGTTGATTCTGGATTCGAGCCAGCAGTCGCTGGAATCTCGTGCTGGCTTGGGGTTATACTTTCCGCAGAACCTCTGCGATGACAACCCTCACCCCCATACCTGAACACAGATCCTGCAAACTGCGGGCTGTCTGGAGCTATGGTGCCACGCATGGAGCTACTATTAAACTGGGTATGGGCCTGGCTGCCTTGAGCAGGCTGGGCTCCAAGGAGGGTCTGGCCGCCTGCAAGCTGGAGGTCTGCGAAGTGCTCCTGGCCTTTCGTCGGAATGCTGCCAACTTGAGGGCGACTGTGTACCTGTTGCCTGCGCAGAAGTGGCACCTCTTTCCCGGTTTCCGGCTCAGAAGTCTTAGCAGATAGAAGGTAGTGGGGGGAGTTGACACCGATCGTCGGCCTGGCTCCAGACTCAACCGAAGTTGTGAACCTCAGGCGGGTTTGTGAAACAAAGGTCGTGCGCTGTGTGGACTAGTATCCCCTAAGCCCCAAGCTGCACGTCCTAATTCCTAGACCCCTGTTGTAGCTGGACATGTTTCTTCGCGGACGTCGTTGCGCCTAATCGTGACAGGCTCTTTGCATCATGGTCACTGCAGCCAGGCACACCGTCCAGGCCCGTGTTTACACATGCCCGTGTCAGACGGGAGTTCCGAGCGGCCACCGACTGTGATGATGACTCTTCTGATGATGGGTGATGATGCCAATCGCCACGTTGTTATTGCCAAGATGAAGTTGGTAACTGGTATGAGAATACTTGGTACCAGCATTAGGGTAATTCATTGACTCTGGCCGATTCTGTGCTTCGTTTTAGTCCCTGCTTCTCCGGTTTCTTTCTTGTGTTTTTTCTTTTGTAGTGGAGCTTCTTGCGGTTCCCTTTGTGGCCTCCGTTTTCAGTTGCTGCTAGCCATTTAGCAGTGGTGATGCTGACGATGATGATGGCGACGTCGACGACAAGGACGACGATGATGTTGACGATGATGACAATTCCAAGTTCCACTCTGCACACAGGGGCAGACTCCCTTTTCTAGTTTGCCTCATTCCAGGTCTTTGTTCCCTCTGTGGCTTGGCAGGATCGGAGATCAACCCGCACAAAGCTTCCAATGACAAAGCGCAATTTGAAGGCCGGACCTCGGCCTGCCTTTGTGGTAGCCTTGGCACTAACTGCAGGAGTGCAAGTAGCACTCGAAGTAGTTGCAGTCGTCGTGCGGCGTTATGCGTTATTCGGAATAACCCAGCGGCAATGGGAAAAGTGGCAGGAGCAACTCTGACATCGGTTGCTTCTGGGACATTGCATGCTTCGATAGACATCTTTCTTCCCTTATAAAGCCTATATGATCCTATATGGTTATGGCATATTCGTATCAGTATCAGTATGTGTATTAGTATTAGCATTAGCATCAGCATTCGTCGTAGTAGAAGTAGAAATAGAGATATTGGTATTGGTATTGGTTTTAGTGTTGGTATTCGTGTTAGATCCTACCGTGCCACAAGGCCAGGCAGTGTTCATAAACATCCTGTGTTTGTGAACAAACCTTGTGTTTACGGACAAACCACATGGTTTGTAACAACTCAGAGTTGATGTTGGTGCTGGAAACAAACCACGCACTCCAAAGAACGACCAACAGACTAGAAGCATAGAAACAACACTGAAAACAGTGAGCTGCAAAATCGCAGGCCCCACGACCTCCTCTGTAGCAGTAGAATTAGTAGACTAGAAGTATTGGTGTTGGTACTTGTATTCCTATTGGTTACACTACAAGCATGCTTCTAGCCGGCGAGAAGAATTCGAGGAGGTGCCGAACGTCGAAGCTGACACCACGGATGCAGGATCCACGGCATCGGAAGCAGAATCAGGCCTGCCCGGAGTGCCCTCTGTCGGCCATCTGTCCATGTTGAAAGAAGTTGGGAGAGCATTGTGCGACCCTGAACCTCACACCCTCAACCCTAAGCCCTAACCCCTGAACCCTAAACGGTCCTGAACCCTAAACCCTAAACCCTAAACCCTAAACGGCCCTAAACCCTAGACCGGAGTTCTTCTGCGCCGTGTCGAGGCCAGACCTGCCTGATTTTGCAGCCTTTGACTCCATGAACTCACCTGAACTCCCCCACCCACCCCTCCCCCCCCCGAAAAGCCGCAAGCTCGAAGCCGAAATGCTCCCGGAACCCTCGAAGTTGTGATCTCCTGAAGTTTTTACCCAGAGATCAGGACGATGCTCGAGCTCGGCGGAAGTGTCGCCCGTGCAGATGGACCTACTCTGGCCGCAGGGGTCTCAGTACCCGCCCAGAAAGCTCTCGCCTTCTTCGGAATATAAACACTATACACGGGGAGGAAGATCAAGATATCGTATAAGATGGCAGCAGTGATCGGGACTTCAATGGTCGTGGATAGTGACGCAGGGACAAGCCGCTGCCTCCTGGACAGATCCAGCGCGGCCAGGAGAGTGTGAGCTCGTTCTGCAGTGCTTTTCCTGTCGACCATGCTGGGATATCCTTTGCAGGATTTGCCGCCGAAATTTAGTCCGGCGGCCCAGTTTTTCTCGGATGTCTTGTAGGAATAACAGCATGGCCGTGAGATTGATTCTCATGCTCCTGGCATGTTTGCTGCTTGGAGGCCTACTGCCCGGCCAAGTATTCCGGAACCAATCCGGGGCTCTGGACAAGCCAGGCCTGGGTGCCCAAAGTTGCGAGGGTGGACTCAAGTCTTTACAGCTTCCAACAACCTTATGTGCGAAAATATGGGACGTGTTTACACATGCTTGCATGTTTGCCTGCCTGTCTGGAAGGCTGTTTGTTCACTCTTGCTCAGAAGAAGCCTAAACCCTAAACCCTAAACCCTAAACCCTAAACCGTATATGCATTCATGCACCAGCGACAATGAGGCACGCCCGTTGGTGCACGGACATCCTCTGCAGAGTCTCTCGAGGAGGCCCTCCGTACGTAGGTTCTAGAAAGAGGAGGACTAAGGAATTATAGCGGGGGTTCAGGGTAACTGCGCTTTCTGGTGATTTTACTTGCTGCCTTGGCTTTTCTCCGTCCTTCTTCCTCTTTGCCCTCTAACTGATGCCCTCCCGCGGTCTGATCTCTTTCGCTTCCGAGGGGCTGAGTCGCAAGAGCATCTTGGCTCAGTTGGTGCTCTGCCTCTACCGCCGCCCTGTGATTCAGAGCACCTCGGGTGTGACTCTTTGCCAAGGACGTGGTGCTGCCGAGGTCCTGGTCAAGCGAGCAGACTGCACACGACTTCAGAAACGAGGCGCGCAGAACACTTCAGTTCTGTCAGCTCCACAAGGCATGGCTAGATGGACCCTCGTTATCCATTAACTGTTAACTCTTCCCAGAACATCCCATAATCCAGATTTCTGTGAATTGCCTGTGAAGTAATGAAGGATGCATTTGTTTTGGGTTGCGGGGTGGGGGGGGGGTAGGGCCCCTGCTAAGTTACGAAGGATCCCTTGTCAAGATTTCTGGACGAATCATTAGCCATGCGCCTGCTAGATCAAGGAAAAACTAGATGCAGAGCCACAAAAGAGACCCTCGGGTGGTCCTACCATTGTACATGTTAGTACCGGAATGCGTGCCTTATCATACGGCAGACGGGCGCCGAGACTCCAAAGCCTCCTCAAGTTAGGAAGCGTGGAGCCTCTTCGAGGGTTGGGCAGCGCTTTAAGAGTCTTGGAGCATCCTCTTGATGAAGGGGTCTTTTAAGCTCGCAAGCCGCTCCATACACGACCCTGTGAAGTAGAGTGCCTTAATTCCCTAAACCCTAAACCCTAAACCCTAATATAGCCTCCTCATAATTATTTTTTGCCTCCCCCCCATATCTTGTTGCGGGCCTCCTGGATCCTCTCCGCGCTCTGGAGCTTCCGAGTCTCTCGAAGGACCGGCCCCCCGCGCGCCGGCGCCAGCACCCTCTCGAGTGGAGCCCAGCCGGTCCGAGGCAATTTAGGGTTTAGGGTTTAGGGTTCAGGGTTTAGGGTTTAGCATGTTGAGGTTTTGAGGCACTGGCAGGCATTCTCGGGTTTTTCGGCGAGTTGAGGGGTGTTCGGATTTGGGGGTTCGTTAAATTCAAGTGCACCCGAAGAAAACCTTCTGAGAAGGGATTGGGGTTCTCTTTATCGCATGGGCCGAATTCTGTTGAGTCTTGTTGATTTATACGCCTCGTGGCACAAGCACATGGACGGCAGTGCTCCGACGGAACTCTCTCCAAGTTGCACGACTCAATGAATTTTTCCAGCCGGTATCAGCACTCCAATGTCGTTGCCATGGAAGACTCAACCAGCCGGAGCTGACGGTGCAATCTGTCGAGAAATCGGTCCTGTGAGGCTCCCATGCACTGTTTTCTTCCGTGCAGGAGCGCGAGCTCTTGGAACGTGCGGCTTCCCTTCGTCTTCCGCTCAAGGTCAAGATGCCTCTTGGACTGCTGTTTTTGACCCTTTTTCCTGGCTCCCAGGCTCCTACCGCTCCTGCTCCCGCTACTGCTGCTGTTACTACTACTACTACTACTACTACTACTACTGCTGCTGCTACTGCTGCTACTACTACTACTACTACTACTACTGCTACTACTACTCCTACTGCTACTTCTACTGCTACTGCTACTACTACTACTACTACTACTACTACCCCTCCTCCTCCT